GATCCACCGAAACTCGTGCAGTTCGACGGACGTCGACGACGACGACGCTGCCTCTGGCGGACTCGTACAAACACCGATAATCGAACGCACACGCGTTCCTCGTACCCAATCTGCCGACCCGTCGCGACGCATACACCTCTCTCGGGGTAGCTGGCTGGAGTCGCGCGGCGCGGTCCCTCTATCGGGATTCCCTTTGACCTTTCGATCGCGAAACTCGATTCGCGGTCTATGATCGATCGAACCGCGTTGGGACCGTAATATTTCCCTCTCTCGCGCGATCGCTGTCAGGATCCTTCTCGAAAGCGCTTTACCGGTTAAGAGATTGAATCGTCGGAGATTTACGTGGAGCGCGATCGCGGAAAGGCAGCCCACCGATAGTTCGAATGGCAGGGAAACACGCAACGCGAGTATTTCGACGAGTTCGTCTTTACGGGGGATGGAGATAAGATCCGAAACGGGGACGGGTTTGCTCGACTTATATGCGAAACGTAAATTTCGCCGCGAGATAAGATCGGCCATAACCTATTTCCGGCGAGGCCGATCGAACTCTCCCTCGAACGGATTCTCCCTTCCTTGCAGTCGAGTGTGCGTCTACTCGCGGAATGATTATTGCCCAATTCCGGGGAATCGCGAATCCTCGCTGAAAAGTTACCACCGGGTATGCTTCTCTCTCTCTCTCTCTCTCTCTCTCTCTCTCTCTTTCTTTCTGTCTTTCTCTCGCTCTTATTCCACCTCGATCACGGCTCTCGAGGTTCCCCGGCGTTCGACGACCGAAACACGGTAAATCGTGACATTTAAAAATCTTCTGCGGTGATCGCCGGCTTTCCGGCGTCTCGTATCCTAGTGAATGGCAGCCAGAGGACAGAGACGATCTTATATCGTGAAAGATCGAGTCCGGCTGATCTCGGAGGCTCTTTGGAGAAAGAGGCAACGCGCAGGTGTGCGTGCGTGCAGGAGGCGAAATCGTAATCTTAATCGCCTTCGAGTAGCCGCTCGTCTCGGATCGGGCAACAGGTTCCCCCGCGCGATTCAATCGTACCTTCGGTTATATACGTGCGAGAGCCGACCTCTTACAAGCATATGGTAAGAACAGGCTCGTTACGTCACTCATCCATCTCCTTCGTCGACCTCGGCTATTGATTTATCGTCCAACCGGGCATTCTCATTTCTTTCACCCCGTCGGTAGATGCGTGTGCGTGAGCGATCGTCTCCGATTAGAGGAACGCATTGTACTCGGGCGAAATCAAGACGACGAGCGTAGCTGCATCGACGTAGCTCAGGAGAAAGCCTCTACTTGCGTAAGAATAATTGGAAATCGAGCCTATTTCTTCTTCCTCTCTTTTTCCGTTTCACCATAAGCCACCATTTTCTTATCGATACGATCGTCGTGGAAAATGGATCCTACGGGAAACCCCCCTGCTTCCTACTGGAACCGCGAGATCCAAGAACGTTGCTCCTATTCCTCTATCAGGGGAACACCAGCTGAGAAAGCGCGGCTCATCCAAGAAGACTTTCCATTTTTTTTTTTGTCCCCCCTCCCCCATTGCATATCGATGCCTGACTACGCGCTCTCTTATTTGAATAATATGAAAAATCGAGGATCGCGCGCCCGGTCTTTCCTTCTTCCGACAGGAGGGCGAGAAAGAGAGAGAGAGAGAGAAAGAGAGAGAGAGAGAAAGAGGCAGACAGGAAGGAAGATAGATAGACTGATAAATGGAGAGAACGCGGGAGATGGACGGATATATGGTGAACCCGCGGGAGAGAAAGAGGAGAAGAGAAAGAGAGAGAAAGAGAGGGGAGCATAGAACTCGGGAGAGAAGAAAGACGCGCGATCGGTGGAGTGAGTTAGGGCCAGCAGGCAACGCTATGCATACCGTCACACCCAGCGACACGCTCCAAATTTGAAATTTAAATTCGGTACGTCTCACGGGACCGCGTCGTACACCGGTTACCAACACACGCGCGTTCTTACGTACTTACGAGAGTGCGTGTAGGAAGGAAGGAGGGTAAGGAACACGAAGAAAAGGAACATCCGACGACGGATACATCGCCGTTTTCACGACGATCCGACGACCCATTCGCTCGTTTCCTCTTCTCCGTAAACACCCTTTGGGAATAGTAATTCGACGCTGACCCTGCGACTTGTCCTCTCCACGCCGAGACCGGTAATCTTCTTGTTCCCCCAGCTAGTGTCAGCCAATGAACCGCGCGAGAAGGTCACCGTTTGACACGCCTCGTCGATCGTCCACGAGGCTATCTCCACGATTTCGGACCCGCCGATAGAACCTCCGGCGCAAAAATCCCATCTTTCGGCAACCTTCGCTTTCGGTCTCCACTTCGCTTTGCTGGACCATGCGACGCGCGCAATTCTTCCAGACGCGTCTCTCTTTCTCCTCTCTTCGTCCCTCTTCTTTCCCGTGTCGAGAACGCGACCTACCTCGGTTTCTTCGCGCGAGTCCGACCACCTCGTGGCTCCTGCGCTTGAAGAATTCCTCCACGTTGTCCGCCTATGCCGAGCAACTCGCGTAACGTGACACGTGTCGCAGCAAGTAGCATAATTTACGTGTCGCACGCTCCGAGTTCCGTGGCTATATCCGCGAACCGCGAAGTCTAACTTCCTTCGTTCTCATCGACGACCCCGCGCCCGCCGAGATTAATAGCGGTCGACGATTATCGTGCCGAGAGTACGCGGCGTTCCAGCCTCGAGAAGCTTAACAAGGGCTCATCGTTTCCGCGATCCCTGTCGACGAACGGAAGAAACTTACCGGATCTCGTATCGGACGAGTAAATCCTCGTGAAACATCACCGTGTCTCGGATAGCGAGGTCGATCTAGAGAGGATAGCAAGCTACGCCGGTCCGGGAAGTTTATCGAAATGGCGAGAGGTGGCGAGAGAAACTTGGACCTATCGTTTCGCGAATTCGATGCAACCGCGGGCTCGGATGTATCTCCGTAGCGCTTCTCTCGAGATTAGGTACTCGAATTAGGCCGGCGCGCTGCAAAGCCCATTACGCGCGACGAGGAGTCGACTTAGGGAGAAGGATCGAGCTCGGAGTGGCTTCGGTTCGAGGAGCTACTCGCGAGAATTCACGGATATCTATGCGCCCGTTACGAAACACCTTCGCCTCTACAGCCGAACGAATTCCGTCGTTCGCTCGATCATTCGATCCGTGGAGCCGAGCCATAGCCGTGAACGAAACACGAGAAGATCGAGGAAGCTTGGAACGTTGGCGCGTAGGCGGTAATAGATTAGATACGAGGATTAGGGGAAAGGAATTACGCGAGAGGGAACTGGTTCGACCGATCGGGAGAAAACAGCCGACGCGTAATTTCGTGACCGTAGGTGGCAGAATTTCGTCGCGACGTTTCGATGTATTCGCTGTATTCGCTGTATTCGCAAGCGGCGCCACGCGAAATCCCTTTTGCAAGAGACGAGAAAGCTGCGGCGAAAATTTGGCGGAGGTGGCTGGCCAGGAAGAAATGGCAGAGGTAGGTGGCGGCGGGACAATTATTTTCACCGGCTCCCCGTGTTTCGACGGTGTCTCGATGAGGTCGGATAATCGCGGTACGCGTGAGAGCCCCTGGGATTCTGCGTGGCTCGTCGAAGCAGTCGGTGGTAGTAGATAGGGGGTAGTGTCGATGGCAAAGAGTCGACGGGGACAACGGAGGCGGAGGGTGAAGGGCTCGGATGGATTTTGCAGCGCGCAGTTTTCACCTTTGAGATTCCATCCGGCGGCAGGGGTGGGCTGCACCCGCCGCGTCGGCTCGGGTACTTTGGTCTAGGAATTCAAGGACCCGGAGTCTGGGGTGGGATCGACGACGCCGCTCGCGCGTCGGGGGCGGTGCGGCTGATGGCTGCGTGGCACTGCTGAACGCCGTGCGACGAGGACGCGGACGGGAGTAACGGAGAAAAACGAAAAGAGAGAAGAAGCCGAGCAGCCACGCGGAGGAAGCGAGGACGTCGCGTGAAACGAAGGAAGACCGACACGTAGAAAAGCAGCGAGGCATTGAAGTCGCGAAAGAAAGAGGGAGCGAGAGAGAGAGGGGAAGATAGCAGGGGAAGAGGGAGAGAGGGAGAATGAACGAGCCAGGAAGGGAGCAAAGAGAGAGGGTTGGACCGATAGCGTCGCGGCGGTGGTGAACACCGTGGAAGAAGGACAGAGGCGAAGCGATAGAGAGGAAGGACCGGAGAAAGAGAGAGAAGGCTGGTGGGAAGAAGAGGAACAGGCGCGCGTGGAAGCGAGACGAAAAGATAGAGAGAGATTCCAAAACGGGGTGAAAGCCATAGAGCGGAGAGAGATGTCGCGCGCGGGTGCGCGCGTGTTCGCGTCACGCAGAGTGAAAGAGGAAAAGGGGAAAGAGGAACGTCGGGGTGGGTTGTAGCAGCAGCCGAGAGCCGGTCGATACGACCACCACTACAAACGTGTCGCAGGATACGACACACAACCTGCTAGCTGTGCTGCGTGTGCAACGATACGCGCGCGACCCTTCTTCTCCCTCTTTTTCTCTTTCGCTTGGTCCTCTCCACCCCTCAGCGGGGGCTTTCTCACCCTTCTCGTGTATAGGACGAGAACGAGAGCTGCCGAGAAGCAAGGTGTTTTAGCACGGTCTCGAGGATCCGCCATTTTGAGAGGGAGTCGTTTCCCTCGTTCCCCTTGAAACGTTGACTTTTCACGGTAAAATCTTTGCTAGGGCTCTCCCGCGCGTTTCGATACACCCACGAGTATTTCGTCGAGTCGAGGAATTATCTTGACCAAGACGATCGGATACGTGTGCGTATTTCACCGTCGAAACAACGTTTCCGTTCTTCGTTCCCCCAGACTTGGCCTCGCAACTCGAAAACGCGTATACGCGTGTACGTATATACGCGTACCGTTAATCGGTATTCGACGAGCAGAGTGCATACGCGTTCACCCGTATCGTCGCATCTATCTCCTAACACGCCAACGTCCGGTTTTCCCAATACGTAATAACGAATGCTCTTCTTTTCTCTCGTTGCAGTTGTTCTTTTGGATACGACACAAGAGGAGAAGCTCGAGTGGACAAGGTATCCGTTCGGCCCGGAAGCTAACACCCCAGGGGTAAGTTTTCCTATTAATGCCGAGCAATCTCGTTTAGCCGATGTCGTTGAGGGACCTCTTCGTAAGAGGATTGTGGCAACGCGCACGAAGGTGCACGGTTTACGCGGGATCATCGATCGTCTCGGCTGTAGCGGTTTACACGAGCGTGACGAGTACTCGACGATATACGCGGAGATTTTGGCGCGCGCAACGACGAAGAAGCATGATCGGGTGAAAAGAGATAGAAAAAATTGGTAAAAGTTGGAAAAGTGGATAAGGACGCTTTCTCGTACTAGCACGGAAAAGTCCCATCGTCCGCATGCTATTCCGTGGGGACAAAATGGACACGGTGGAGCAAGAACAGCGGGTTCCGGGGGTACCAGAAGCACTTTATGGTCTCGGTGCGCGCGGCATACGTGGGCTCCCGCTGGCCGGTGCGCTCTCTCGGCGCCATGTTTGTTTTTCAGTTGTTAAGCGCGCAGCGGGCCGCCAGACAGGTTTAAATCAGCCACTACCTCCTCCTCCACCTCCTTTACCACCGACCGGCCAGCACCTCCTGCTCTCTCTTTCCTTCTCACTCTCCCTCTCTCTCTCTCTCTCTCTCTCTCCGTTGCACGCGCGTTCACGCTCTTTCTCTCTTTTCATCTTGTACCCCATCTTGCTTTCGTCCCTCGATCCCTCTCTCTTTCGGTGCTCGTCTCGCGCGGGACGTGCACCGCCGGACCAAGAGTCAGTCCGCTGGGTAACAAATTGCTTTTTGTTTGAACGGACAAATTAGAGAGACGGCCGCCAGATAGGGAGGAGAGGAACGAGCGGAACGTGCGAGAGGAGAGAGAGAGAGAGAGAGAGATGATACGTTTATTTAACGTCGTAGGACGTATAGTTTCCTACTTGCATACGTAAATACGTTCGCGTACGAGCGCTGTTGAAAATTTCCCTCCGACTCGACCGACTCCTTCTGCGACCCTACGTGGGTGTCACTCGCTAAATATCCACCTTATGGCACGATGCATAGTTTATCGACAACGATAAACCGTCCGAACCGTTTTACACCGCGAAAAGACTGGCCCTGAGCTTCGACCGCCCTGATATTCCTGCGATTCTCCCTCGATTCTAGGTTCGCCGCGACGACACGACGATCGATAACCGATAACGTCCACTTTTACCCTTTACCGCGGAAACTCGGGATAATTAATCGTCGATCGTTCCGTACCGGCAGAGGCTCGAACGAATTATCGGTCGGTCAACCTCGTTATTTCGCGTTCGATTTAAAAAAGAAAACCGTCGAAATCGGAACAGGAGCGGCTGAAAAGATATCGGTCGTGGTTCTCGTCTATTTTTTCCCTTGGCTTTCAGCGTTGATCGTTAGTGCCGCACCGCTAATCGAGCAGCGAGACGTTTCGTTTGAAAAGGTTCTTTGAGTTTGCTGTTGATTTTACTAGCTGCTAAACGTCCTCCGCTTCCTTTCGGGAACGGGATCAGAGGAACGCGCACCCGCTACGTGCACGGAAGCTTCGTTTTTTCCTTGGAACAGGTCGAAAAAACAAGCCTTATGCTCATCGTCCAGTACTCGAGTTCACTTCGCACCTCTCTGCCGTTTGTAGACCGGCAGAGTCTATACCGGTGCCGCGCTCGAAAAACGCAGTTGAAACGCGTGTTACGTGGTTTTTCTACGATCCCGAGGACCTCCGCGCATAGTTTACACCTCGTTCCAAAAACAGGCCCTGCTCACCGTTCCTTCCTCGCTCGCGCAAGTTATCTCTAGCGTTTCTTACCCGACGTACGTCGAAGATCGGTGCACGTCGGGGCAGAGAGCGATTTATCCGGTTTGGCCGCGGTGTGGATGATAAAGGAGCGGAACGGCTACCCCTGAAATTCTTCGAGGTCTTAGCTCATCGCGATCGGATCGAATGACTGGAGCCGAACGTCATCGCCATTGGAAACTCCGCGTCGACGCGGATCGGCGTAAATAATTAACGGTCGCTGCTCGCATCCGATTTCCTGGCCGATTTGTTTTAATATCAACCAAGTCGTCTATGATCGTGTTTAATCGCGAAACGTGTTATTATTCGCGATTATCGCCTGCTCTCCCGTTCGCGATTACACGTAAAACAAGAACGCGCGTCGTCCATTCCGAGAACGGCTCACCCTTCGAATTCCATGGATCCTTAGTTCATCGGTATCGATCGAGAGGGGGCTCTCGGTGGGTTTATCGGCCGCGGTCTACGGCCGATGACGAAAGACGATCGTTCTCGCGACCAGAATTTAATCTCCACGCGCGTTTCGCCCCGTGCCATTCTTCTTTCTCGCGTTGCGTTTCGATTTCGCGTTTCCTCGGACCGGCTAAAAGTCCCGTGAAAGGCGAAACGGAATCCTCTTAGAGCGCTGCAGCTTCTCGATCCGCTTCTAACCGACGGCTTTTCGAAGGAATCGCGTGAACGGAATGCGAGATAGATCGCGTTCTTCCCCTAAAAGCAGACTCTAAGTCGGGCTAACGAGTTCCCTAGACCGGGGATTAACGCGTCCCGAGTCTCGCCGTTTTCGCGCGCCACTCCACCCTCCGATTCCTTCCTTTCCACTCTCCTCCTCCGTTTACTTCCATTCTTCGCTTCGCGTACACGCGTTGCTACATCGACAGGATGTACTCTCTCCTCGGAAGTTGCAGGTCGGTCGAGTAATATGCAAGAAAGGGTTAATTAACCGAGGAAATGGAGGTCGGACGAGAAGGGAGGGACTCGTTTACCGGTTTCCTTACGCCGTTCTAATCGCTTTGCTTTCCGGAATCGGGCGTCCAAAGTCCCTGCGTAATAAGTACGGCCAGTGTGGGGATTATTAATATACAGGACCGTAGGGCGAACAGCGTCGGAACAAACAAGCCAAACAGAATTAGCTCGGAGTATTTGAACAACCCGATGGGGAGAAGGGTTGGCGTGCGTTGCGAAGCGAGACGTCGCTTTGATGGCGTTGCTGGTGAGCCTCGAAACTCGTATAAAGGGATCTCGAAGATACTCTCTTCGCGTACCGCTAATCTCGCCTGCAGGACCTCGCAAAGAGCCGCGCGCTACCCTCTTTCTCGTGAATTCAACCAACACCGACACTATAGATGAAACGGGAAGAAAAGGGAAGCTCGAATTAATCGGGAGAATGCTCGAGTTTCCAGTCACTCGATCAACGCACAGATGGACTATCGCCTTCTTCCCGATCCTTCCCCGTTTTGCCTCGTTTCCACATCTTTCACGTCGCGTCACCTCGTCGTTATTAAAGAAAACGTCGGACTACCTCGGCAGGTATCCGTTGGACGGATAGCGAACGTTTCTTCTCTTCGTACGTATACACACTTTATATCCGTCCATCGATATCCGAGAAGGAGACGAGGAGTACAACGTTGCTAGATCTCCGATATTTTTTCCGGGAAAAATTTATCGTCGGTTTAGCGATCGGTACGGGCCTGTTTCTCGATGTCGTGTAAACCTCGCGCGTAGGAGACGAGCCGGGAATGTTTAGAAAGTCCAATAAACAATGATGGGACAATTTTGGGAAACACAAGTCGTACGTTCCGTGTACTTTATGCTCGATGCCTCGTTAATGTAAATTATCGGAGGTATACACACGGCAATCTACCAATCGAGGACATCCAATCTACCGGGAACATCGAGAAAAGTCCTCGATAGCAGAGTCACAAAGAGGTACGCGACGCGATTTATTTCCACGGAGATAAAGTTTCGATAGAACGGGTCGAGCGATTCGGAGAGGAGGAGAAAGAGGTGGAGGAGGCGGAGAACGCGATCGGGGGCTCGTCGGTTCGTTCGACGGAATATTTAAATCATTTCCTGCACCGGGAACAACGAGAAGGATATTCAAATGCACAGTCGATCGAGGTACGATTTTCGTTTGAGTTTTTCGCTTTCGTTTAACTTTCGAAGGGGTTCAGCGGAACGGACGAGAACTAGCGGCCAACTAACGGTAGACTCCGTCGCGATAACTGACCGTCGGTAAAGCGTAAAGGACAGAGAGGATGTGAAAAGGAAATAAAAGGGGTAAAAAATGAGAAAGAGAAACGTAAAAAAGAAGGAACGAGAAAAAGAAAGAAGAAGCGAGAAATTTGGCTTCCGAAAGAGGATCCGCTGTATCGCCGGTTGATCGTCCACCGGAGAAGCCGGCAGCCAAGTTCATCTTCGAGTCGATGAAACGTGGCGATCGTGTCTGCAGTTCTGGCGAAAAGGTCTACTCCACTCGCACGTGGCACTCGAGTTTCTATCTGACCGTTTCATCTCGCGTTTCCTTCATCTTCATCCTTCTCTCGTCGACCTCTGTTCAACACGGGTCGGAACGACTCCTCGTCCTCTCTCCCTCTCTCTCTCTCTCTCTTTCTCTTTTTCTCCGAGGCTCCTCTCGCTACTCCGCTACCATCTTCCTCGCGCTCTTTCCTCGTTGCTCTCTGTCCTTCGCCCTCGCCACCCTCTCTACGCTTCTCGGTCCGTGGCTCATCGTCGGTTCTCCGGGTTGGTCTTTTTAACCGCAGGCGTATCTGCATCTAAATGCGCTCCTCGGATGCGAAATTCTGAGGACGTCACGTGGTGATATGTGACTCGGGTAACCGCGTCTTCGGGGGCTCTCGCTCGTCAAGGATCGCCTTCCCGGAATGCGAAGCGATGCGACGCGCGAGAAAACACTTGGCTCGCCAACTTGCGCGCCCTTCTCGTCCACTTTGCTTGTCCGCGTATATTCGCGTTTTGCATACCGGTAGCGACACTCGTTCGGCAGGGTTTCTCGCAAATTTTCAAACGAATGAGTCATCGCGTCGCATCGCGTCGCGTCGCTTCGCTTCGCCTCGCCTCGCCTCGCCTCGGCTCGCTCCAACTCGCTCGCCCAGCCTCGACTCGTTTCGAGACATGGTAGTAGTCATTTCGCTGCTCGTTTTTACACTCTATATAAATAAAACGCTCGTTAGTTCGTTTCTTCTACGATGGAATTTTTCCACGGACCTTCGGAAACCTCGCGGCGACGAAGTAACCCCCCCG